CACAAAAATAAATGGATGCTTAAAAACATTGCTCTGAGTTCTCTAGCACTTTTCCCCACACAAGATGCTACTGGTTTACAAAATTTAATGTCTTCAATTCTGGAAGTTCTGTAGGCTGCAAGATGACTCCTCAAAAATGGGCATCACCCTTTCTGACTATACACAATTAATAATATAATATAATATATGATTTTTCATTTGCACTACTTGAAGTCGTCAGCAAGACAATTATTTGGTAACTCAGTGTATCGAATACTAGCTGTACTTCAGAGAGTTCAAAAAGTATTAGTATAAACTCAATGTTATTTCACTAAATGCAGTAATTACTACCATGTCAACAGAGAGCATCATTAAAGGTTCATCCCCTCACAGATGTTTAAACAACATGTGGTTAAAATGTAGCACATAGAGCAGCTGACAAGATGATACAACCAAGCCAGTATTTATTATCAACACTCAAGAGGAACTGACACTTGCCCTTTGTTTAGCCACCTCTGTAAAGATGCTGAATATTTGTAAATGTTCCTCTTTTACTGAAGATTTGCTTAAAACACAGAAGAATAGTAAGTGAAGATGTGAAGCAAGCCAGGCAAATCCAAGAGCATCAGAGATCTCATTAAACCAAAATGTGCTGCAAAGGGTAGCCCTGTGTGGGGTGTGGTTGGTGCTTCTGCCGTTTGCATCCTCTGCAGACATCCCCACGCCGCCGCAGTGCACTCCTGAGATGTCACACACGAGAGGCTTCTCCAAAGGCTTTCCTCTAGTCTGAGCTGAAATCAAGCTATATCGATGGTGTTACTGTCAAAGAAAAATAAAAGGATCTACCTATCCTTGCCTGCCAAACACCTGAGTGTCCATGTCATCTACACAGCTGTGAAAGCACGTGTTCCTCCTCCTTCTGACTCTCTTGCTTTGGAGTATAGCAAAGACAAAATTCAATCCATTTTTACAAATATAAATCTGAAATAAGGCCATTAGAAGCAGCTAGGCGGACAAACACCTATAAAGGCCACATCTGAACGGAAGGTATATTTAATCAGGAAAAAAAAAAAGTGTTCAAAATACAGAATATAATTACAAGGAGAAAAGAAACCTAAAAAAAAAACCCCACAAAAAAACCCCAAACTACAAACTAATGCAGAAAATCAACATGCCTTACCCATAGGTCTGTTTCTGTCCCTGAGGTCCCTGTGGTTGGGGTGTCTGTATGAGTCCCTGTAGTGGTGGGCAATGGCCATATCATCCAAACGATAATGCTGAGGTGGAGGTGGGGTGGGATGAGGCAGACCATTGGGCTGATAAGATAAGCCATTATTTGGACTGTACCGCTGGCCTGGGCTAATAGTGCAGGGCCGCTTGCTTGGATGCTCTGAGTGCAAAGGCTCTCTGTCAAAGCCGTTTTCTTTGGTTCTGAAAAACAAAGCAAAGGAACTTTAATTCACTTAGCGAGCAGAGCTGCTCAGGAACACACACCCCCACCTACATGTGCAGCTTCAGAACTAAAGCTTGTTCTTTCACTTCGCTCCAAGCGTGTGGTGTTGCAGAATGTTTCATAACACTGCTTATTCAAAATATACAAAGGACACATTCACGTTGTCTAACTATCCCTGTGACTTGAGAAATACTAGCAGGGTGAGCCTGCTGATGAAGCGGCTTAAAGAGTTGGGCTGGAGAGTGAGCAGCATTCACTGAAATCACCCGCTGGTGGGATGGATACACAAGTAATTGCAGAGCTGAGACAATCAACTGATACATGAAGCTACAGACTGAGAAATTCCTACTTTCAGTAGTGCTATAGTGATTAGGGGAAATTCGCAGTTAAAGAAATGTGGGTTTCTTTAAGAGGAGAGCATACAGTCTTAAGGTAGTGCACCTTCAAGGTTGGTTATACGTAATGCCAGGCTGAGTTCCCATCAAGATCCATGTCATACTGAGACTTTGGGCAAGAATGACTCTAGATGATAAGAAATGCTTCCTTCAGAAATTTTTGTACCATCTGGGATATTTCAGTCAAAGGTGCTATGCCTGTCATTAATTTTGCAGGAAGATGTGGTTAGACTCAAGTCCTCAAAAACGTTCAAGATTTTCCACTCCATTACTCTTAGACAGGGGTTTTATGCTCAGGTAGCCAGGTAACTCAGAGTTACCAGGGAGGAGGGCAGTTTTTTACGTTATAGATAATCAGTTTCATTCCTAATCAGCTATTTCCAAAGAAGCCTCTACTTTGGACCTCCACCCAAGAACCTAGATCTCACACTAAATTCATTTGCCATTAAAATAAAAAAAAGAAAGGCTAGAGTTACTTCAATAGGTTCACAGGTCCTTTTAGGGAAGCTTTGTTTCATTGAAGTACGGGGGTTTTACTGGAATAAACAAAACCTACAAAATATTAGCTTCAAACAGAAAGGTTGTTAGATATAAAGATCGCAAACTGTTGAGGTTGCAGCCCTCCCTCCAAAAACCTTTACTAAACAGTTGATATATTCCAGACTTTTTTAAAGAGAACTTTCTCTTTTGTGATTTACGGGTGGCGTAATAGATCTTCCTAGTAATAACACAATTTTTTATCGCTTTGTCAGGAAGGTAAATTTATTCAATTTTCGTGTTTGCCCAGTGTTAAAACCAACTGCCTTTCAACAAACCCTCCCCCACAAACCAACCAACCTCGAGGGGCTGTCTGTGGAAAAACACTCAATGAATCAACTGTTGCCCCTCAGTAGGTTCTCCTTCAATGTCAATGAGAGGAAGGATGAAACCAAATCTTTGTCAATATCCACTGGGAGACAGAATCAAAGTAAGAGCTTGCAGTTACCAGCAGGAAATGAAAAGATGGGTTGGCACAGTTTTCAGGAGTAAAGAGATTTTCCAGGGACCCCACCACAGTCACTGATGCCAGAGAAGCTGCAGGTATATGCATTTTATTATACCTTAACTTGGCAAAGAGGGGAGAATCTTTCACCAATACAGCTGTTCTAATTTTGGGCAGAGGTATAAAAGACATACTTTGTTAAAGTGGAGTATGTACCTTGTTCCAAAGCAAACACAGAATGGCTGTGAAAACTCCTAATCAGGAAAACCTGAGGACCATCATATATTTTTAATGATTTTTGGCATGTTGGAACTGCTTGCAGTAACTCCCAATGGGTAACGATGTTTTTGACTTTTCTCCAAGACAAGTTTTGTATTTAGTTGCTGGTGTGTGTTTCCTTTGCACATATTTACTCAAACTCTACATCCAGGTCTTTCAAATGGTGAAAATACTATGCAAGCGAAATGTGGACTTTCCTGTACGTACGAGCCAAGCTATTCAATTTGCCAAAGTTCTTCACTGTTATAGTTAGAATGATCTCTAACAAAGATGGGGGGAAAAAAATCAGAAACTGTAAATAATTAAATAACTTAATTGACTTTTTTTGATCACTCAGTGTAGGAAAAGCAAGCCAGAAAAGCGTGACAAGTAGGAACCAAGTTTTCCCTTTCTTAACTATAACTGGATGTTAAAATCCCATATTTTCATACAAATATACATATTTGCACTTTATTGTACAGGTACTTCTTAGAAATGCTTTATATTTAATTAACTTAACTGGAATGAACTGCATTAGCTTGGACAACACACCAGCATATCCATTTTCATCTAGAACCCTGCATTTAACTAACATACAAATTAACATTACCATTGAAAACACATTTACTGAAATTAAATTCCTGGTTTTGCTATTATACTGGATAATGGCTGTTGAGTCTTTTCTGGGTGTTGAAATCTTAATTCTACAATTTGTTGTTGTATTTTCTGCACTGGCCAAATTAACAACTTAGCAGAATAGCAGAATGAGGCTGCATATAAACTCATTTAGTGTTTTGACCACATAAAGTACATAAAAAAGTAACAACTTCCAAAGTCTCATCTGAACAGGAATCAGTGGCAAATTTACTATATCTGAATATACCGAATATAGTGATAAAAAGAAGTCGAGTACTGAAGAGTGCCATAATTCAGATACCCTGAACTCAACCTACTATTCTGCTTCTGATCTCAGTCCTACTCATTCTTCCAGGTCTCACCCCCTTGGGAGAGCAGCATTTCCCTGGGTGCCTGAGGAAGCACTCCTGTGTCAGGGTAACTGGCAGACCTGTGTGAGTACTAGTTCCAAATCCAAATCCCCTACAATTTTAATCTGATTTCATCTGATTTTTATGTGATCCATCTGATTTTTGCAAAGCAACAACAAGCTGTAAAGAGGAAATAACATTAAAAGTGTAAGAAGCCTGACACGTTTTCTTGTTTTTCTCTTTCTTGCTCCTGTTGGTCACATTTTCCTTGACGTGCACATAAATCAGCACTGTCATTTGGAAAATTTGCAATATGATAAAGATGGGGTCCTTCAGCTATAAACATGCAAGGGGTCACTTCACTTGGAGCCATGATTTACTCAGATTAAAGACAGCAGAACAGCTACTAGTCATTAGTCTGCACCCACTTAACATATTTTATGTTGTTTGTAAGTTATCATTTAATTTTTCAATTATTGCAATTTATGGATAATTTCCTGGGTAGGAAATCTGACCACACAAAACTGCCTTGGCTGGAAAATTAAGTTTCACCTGATCAAGAGTATTACACCAATTTCAAAGAACACTGAAGTCAGCTTGCAAGAAGCAGGCAAAGCTGTTCATCTGCTATTAGTGCAAAATACTTTGACTGAAATTTTACTTCCACCAATAAAGTCTTGATGACTGAAGATATGATAATGCTTTGTTGGAATAAAATACTTATTTTGTTTATAATATTATGTTATAGAAATGATTACTATTTTCCTTGCTAACGGTTCATATTAAGTAAATTTGTTTAAAATTCCTCATAATTTTTCATGGCTTACAAGGGGTATAGAGCATCCTTCACCTTATTGAGATGTGGAGAAACTTCTTAAAATAAAAGGATTTGCCTAACAGAATTATCAAAGTCAGTCCCTGTTTCCAGTTACTTTCAATATGAATTCATCACTAGGAAAGCCAAGGGTACAGCAAGCACAGCAGCACTTTCTAAAGTCATAAAACAATCATGGCCACTTCTGTTTTGTAGAGATATCCCAACAGATTTTTTTGCTTAAAAATGCCCTATATCCACTTTGTAGGCAGCTGTCATAAATACAGTCACTATATGACATGCTCATGTGCCATACAGCCCTTCCCAGCAAGCTCAAAGGATGTCTAATTGGCAAAGTCTTTTGTACTTAATGTGTTTAAAATCATGTTATTTATAACTAAGCGTTCATTCACCAAAATAAAAACTCACATTGGTCCAAGTTCCTTTGCTTTACTACAGTAGAATGTAAACTCCAAAAGTTGTAAACAAAATATAGTGAACGCTTTGTTCATGACATGGCATGAACAAATTACCAAAATGTGTTGTCTCCTCAGGTGTCAGTTTTTCTCTCTTGCAGTGACTGATGGTTCCCAGTGTTATTACAGAAACAGATTGATCTTTTTAATGAGCTAGTTTAATAGACTCCAAAATCTCACCGTGGCTGCTCATCCATGTCAGACCATATGCACCAAGAAAACATTCAGTAAAACACGAAGCTCTGCTGTCAGATTGCTCAATAAAACCTCACATACAGTAGATTCGGATATGCAGATAAATAACCAGAACTGGAAAATGCATATGCAAAAAAGGTTCTGAAATTATAAGCAGAAAAAAATTACTGTATGTGGATTTTAACAAAAAAACATGAGGTGGATGTGGTTATGTGCAACACACACGTTGCACTTCCTTTGCCTAGTCCCTTACTGTATTTTACCTCTTTTGCAATCAACGATATGCAGTTAACCGTGCATAAAAGAAAAATGTAAATATGGAAGAATGTGTGTATAAATATTTCTAATATATATGCGTATGTATCATATATAAACACACACATGCATCTATATACAAGATGGGTAGATAAACAGTATATATAAAAACATACACATTATATTGGGGAGCTGTGTGTGTATGTGTGTGTGTGTATATGTATATATATACACATATAAAAAATATCCCTTGGGAAGTGAGTAAGATACCACATTTTAGTGAGAGACATACCTCCAAATAAAACTATTTCAACTGCATTTATTTCCCCTGGAAAGATGTTGCCTTTTAGTCTTTTTTTTCCATATTCTAGTAACAGAGTCACAGCAAACCCTCTTCTTAAAGGATGTCTCATATCTTCCGCTGTATTTTTATTAGTATATTTGAAAACCACTTAGATATCTGAACAAAAGGTATATTTATTCCCAGATGTTTCCTCCTGCTCCTCTGTAAACAATTAAAATAATTAATAGTGTAATGAGTATAAAGCCAGACAAGTATTTGGTTTCAATACTCAATCTGGGCATGCTCTGACTCTGAGGACGGTCTTTTGTGGGTGATTTACTTGCATTATCCAAATTTAAAAGTATGCAAACTCCCATTCAGTAAATTTAAGAATCTTTCCAACAAGATCTTGTTCTTTTTACTAAATCTGTGGTACAAATGTCCTTGAATGCATGAGACAACTCCACGGAACTCGGGTCAGCCAAAACTATCATATGAGTTTATTTTTTTCTGTGTAACTTTAATCTTAGTCAATAGAGACACAGGTGTGACTAACCAGCGACAGGGCTGTTTAGTACCGCAAAAAAACAACTTATTTTTTCAGCTCAAGGCACCATCCCAATGGGTGAGTTGGACAGTCTTTCCAGGTCTTTCATGACAGCAATGAATTTCAGGGTCAAAAAAGCATGTTCTTTTCTGAAACGCCACTTCCGCAGAACTGAGGACCCTAATTTCAAGCAGCAAATGACAGAGACTGCGGGTTGATAGCTCTGGCACCTCGGAGCATGCCGGCCAGTGGGACACCCCACATCACAGCCCCTCCCTGGGCCCCGGGAATTCAGACCCACAGCACTGGAAGTTAAACTGTCTACCTCCCGCCCCAAAAGCTACGTTACTATGTGGAGAGGAACTGAAGGCTCCCCGAGCTGGATGCAGCCTAAGAGAGACCTCAGTCGTGGAGGCAAAGGCACTTGCTCGTGAGCAGACATTTCTGAGTTTCAAGAGCACCTATGTATTTTAACTAAACGGAAACACTGAGGAAAAAAGAAACATACACCAGACTTACGTCCCTCTAGGTCTAGGCCTCCATTTTAATTAAAAGATGAAGGTTGATTTTAAAATCTAACATTATTCTGATCTGCAGTCCTCTTACAGGCCATTCCTATGTCCTTTTTGCTCTAAGACTAATACGAGGTCTTTTCATTCCTAAGTTCTCGTACCAGTTTTTACCTGCACCACCCATACCCTCCCACACAACCGCGACTGCAGCTACCATAGGTGAGACTGTACTTATTACAAAATAATCAAAATTCAACACTGTCAAACTGGGTCTCAAAGCGGGGGGTAGTATTATTCCAGAATGCTAAGGAAGAAAAACAAAGGAAATATTTTATTGCCCATTTTTCCTTTGTGACCTTATGGAAGAAGTGAGTAATACTGCGCTCTATTAGCAGGGAAAAAAGTGAGGTAGGGCTGTCAGGAGAAGGCACATCCCTCTTCCCCTCTATGTTCGCTGCCAAACAAGACCTCACAGGCTTATGAGATAATTCAATGTGTGTCCATCTGCTTGTAGGAAAAATACTGTGCCTGCTACTGACACTGGTCCACAACATGCTGATATTTAAGTTATTCACAAGATGCGCAAGATTTTAAGAAGCCTTTTTAGTAGACGTTTTGGTACACCACTCTGCAAAGACTGAGGATATGCAGCAGAACTGCCCCAGGGAGCTGTATTTCAGCTTTGGAAATGTTATCTTTTTGCACAGAGTAAGACACTACATGGAAAATGTCTGAAAATTAATCATCTTTCTCGAATGCGGTTAGCAGGTTTGTGTTAACACCGGTGGCTGTTTCAGTTTGGTGTAGTTGTCAGGAAAAAATGGTGAAAAGAGGATACATGGAAAAGGGCTTCTCTGCTGGTATCTTTATTATCTTGCTGGTCCATAGGGATTTCCCTGAAACACAATCTAAAGCAAGCTCATTTCAAATACTTTCTCATTTTTGTCTATCTAATGGCTACACTAATTTTTACTGTTCACTTCTGGCTATCAACTTAATGTTTTACTATGCAGATATTTTCAAGATCTTGCACCTACATCATCAATATCTCACTTTCATATATGCAAAAATTTTTGATGTTGAATTTTTGTCTACCAGCCTCATGAACTTTCAGACTTTGTTTTCTCCGTGTGTTATCATGGCCTGTCCCTACACAAAAATGTCACCTGTACGAACCTGCAAGACATCTTGACTTTGCAAATCTTCATCTTTTTTTTTCATTTAAAAGATACCTAGAACACTTGCCATACCTTGTGCATGCAGGTAGTAGCATTTGGTAGAAATAGCATTATAAAAGTTTTCCACACTATAAAATCCATGGCAAACAAAACTAAAAAAATCCAATATTTGGGCATCCCAAAGGTAGTATGTATATGCTAGCTGAACTTCTAACACTGTCACAAGAAGACAGTTAAAAATAACCACAAGAGTCATTTTCTTGTAACACAAAATAAATAACTTTATTCAAATAAGAAAAAGAGAAAACTGTTCCATATCCCTAAAGCTACCATACTTTGCACACGCGCACTCGCTCGCCCTGTTTCGGCACAGACTCTTTCTCAGCTCAACAATAAAACAGATTTCAGTGAACATTTCTCCTGTTTGGAAGAAATATCCTTGTGCATATTGGATATATGGACATGGAAACAAACGTAGCATAGCAGAAGGAGTCAAAGCCCTGACTGCGCTCCGAAGCTTGCCTTGTACTTCCCAATATAAGTGCCTAGCCACTTTCCCCATATTTAATGTTCAATCCAACAAAACCTCAATTACAAAGAACATGGAGCTGGAGCGATCTGCTGCTCATCACTTCATGCTGCAGAGAAACACTATGCGCTATATGGCACGAGCTACTTCTACGAATGGACCACAGCATGTCCTCAGGCAATGTTGCTGCCCGAGTCAGTGTGTGCATGTACCTATACATCTAGATATATACACGTGCACGCACACATACACAAAGGTAATTTGGCTATTACACAGCTGTAACGAGGGCAGGACCTGCACCCAGGGAACACCACCCCAGTTCCCCACACGCACCCACCCACACGCCCCCCCTTGCTAGCGGAGCTAACGTTCGACCCACGGGACATTTCCGAGCGGGGTGTGAAAGGCACGGCGGTGCTCACCTGTCTGGAGTTCGCCTCTTCCCGTTTTCGTTCACATCGAGAAGCAGCTCTGAGGAGTCAACAGGTGAGGTGGTGCTGGCATCCAGAAGCAGCTGTTCGTGCTGGGCGAGGTACTGGGCTGGGTTCTGCTTGGCTAGCCTTGCACAGTGCAGCAGCTCCCGCTGCAGCAGGGGCAGATTGGCCTGCAAGAGCGTTGCACACGTTAACGGGACGGCTTGCACGTAGTTTCAACAGAGACGAAGCAGAAAACTCAGAAATCAAAGGAAAGCCTGCTCTGGGGTGAACCTGTTGCAAGCATCCTCAATTAGGTTTGTTGTGGTTAGCTGCCTGAAAGCAGGCAGCCTCTTTATGGGGTCAGGTCATGGCTGTGGTACATATGCATGGAAGGATGGGAGTTTACTTATGAAAATGGAAAATAAAACTGCAAATACTGTGAGAAAACTAGGTCTGAGCTCCACATCTTTAAAAGGGGAAAAAGCCCTGGCTGACTTCATCTCCCTTCGTACTATTCAAAACCTGAGTTCCTATGGAGCAGTAGTTTTCAACAAGTGTCAAAGCTTCTTCAATATTTGTTTCCCATTCAGACTGCAGTTAGTACTTAGAAATTGTTTGAAACCACAGGATCTGTGGCTCTAGAAGTTGCCTCAGTCACCATCCTTCAACAGCCTTGAGAAGAACAGGATTGCCCTCAGCTTTCCCACTACACTTGCAGTTACACATTAAGATAAAGATTATAACAAAATCTCATGTTCGGGAGCTTCAGCTAATCACTCAGAGAGCTATGACCCTCCTCCTAGCCAGATGGAGCTCCAAATATTTTTAACCTTCCTCTCAGGGCCCCACTGGGACTTGGGTCATGGGCTAGAGAGTACCAGGACTCTGACACAGAGAACTGAAAATGCTCATTGATCCCCAGGGGCATGTTTTGTCATGCTTAGTCACACTTCCTGCTAGATTTGGGCCCAAGGTGGAACTGTATGTCCTTTCCACTGGAGGAGATAGTTACGCATCCTGGGAAACATCTTCTTTTCTTTGCAGCATGTGCATACTTCGATACAAACATAGTCCAGTCATTTCTTACCTACTTATTTGTGCCATAAGGTGATCTGCCCCAACCTCTCTTATTTATGCCAAGTGCACAACGATTTGTTGCCTGGGGATTTTCAAGTAGTGGATTAAATTCCATGACCTTTAGCAACCAGAGATAAGACAAAGAACTCCAATGGTCCCTTTGCTTTGAAATAACTCCTGTGGTGGGGTGGGAGTGGGGGGGTAGGGCTGTCCTTTTTTAAAAAAAAGGATAGAAGTCAACAAGGTTCCGAAACTA